TTTTTTAAAAGTTTTTCAAAACAAGACCAATTAAATTGGGTTAATAAATATTATATAGAACTTGAATATGAACAAAGAATTAAATTTTTTGTTCCTTGGTTTCTAAAAAGATATGTTTTAAAACAAAATAATAAAATAAGTGTTTTAGAAGACCACTTAAAACAGTGGAAAACATCAACGGGTAAAATAATTAGATCTATCAATCCACCAACAGACCCAATACAATTAAAAGATGTTTATCCCTCTACTATAGAGGCAATTGCTTTTATAAAGCCTAATGAGTTCAATGAAGAACATATGAAAGAACTAAGTAAAATTATAAAACAAAATAATTATACCAATATTTACTTAAAAACAATAGGAGAACAACTTATAAGAGTTGAAGAAGTCCTAGACAAATTAGTGTCTAAAATTACAGAGGTTATACCCTCATTAAAACTTTTAGAAAAAACAAATCTTTCTCAAAGAAAGATAGAAAAAACAAATATTAAACCTCCTATTGATATTTCAGGATTTAAAAAAGATAGCGAACTTACTCCTGATATTATTGAAAGTCTAGCTAAAAAACTAACTAACGCTAGAATACACACACTTGATACAGTGTTACCATCCACTTCTACAGTTATATCTGAAGAAGAGAATACGTCTAATACAGACAGTTCTGACGATATATCGTCAACAGAAATTTTTGCTGTAGAAAATAATTTTACAGAAATTAATAAGCTTAAAAGCCATCCAAAGAAAAGACTGGAAAGGTACTATTATAAAAGACCAACTCCAGCAGATGTTCTTTTTGAAGAAAATGATGCCTATCTACAGGCTGATTATAATGGTAGAAATATCTACGAATGGAATATAGATGGGTTATCTGACACCCAGATTAATTCGACTATACATAGAATGCTAATGTATGGTACCATTTGTAAACAAAATGGTAATAATGAAAGAATGATAGCCTCTTTTATAACTTGTGGCTTTACTGGTATCCTTAAAGGATGGTGGGACAATTATCTGTCTGCAGATGCTCGAAATGAGATATTAGGAGCAACAAAAATAGAAAATGGTATACAGCAAGAAGATGCTGTTTATACGTTAATGCTAGCAATAGCACACCATTTCACTGGTGCTTACCTTGATGAAGGTGAAAGAATCAGGACCTTATTACAAAATTTTAGATGTCCTTCTTTAACTCATTTTCGGTGGTATAAAGACACCTATCTAAGTAGAGTTATGTCTCTAGCTGATGCTAATAGCTCACATTGGAAAGCCAAATTCATAATTGGCTTGCCTACTTTATTTGCTGAAAAAGTTAGAAATAAAATTCGAGCAGAATATGGAGGATATATTCCTTACGACAACCTATCATATGGGTATTTGTCAAACGCCTGTATAAAAGAAGGCTTAGCTTTATGCAATGATTTAAAGCTTAAAAACCATATATATATATATATATATATATATATATTAACTTGTATAGAATTATTCTTGAAAAAAAAATCTATTGATTACTTATTGACTTATATACTTTGAAATTTTTTTCTTTTCTATATAATAATATGACTTATTTGTTTGGAAACGTCTAATTAAGTAGCTGGGCTAGGCTAATCTACTAGACCCAATTGACTCAAAAGAATTAGTCTTAAATGGGTCATGAGTCTAAACATATTTAACCATCTATCCATCTTGCTCTCTATTCAATGACTAAATCTCATTCTATGTGTTTTCCTAAACCAAACCCAACATATATAACCAAGTGGATGCTATAATGCTTCTTTGAATCCTTATAGTAAGTTGCTATGCACACATATATTAAATTATATATCATTCTTCATGAACAAATTAATAATTTCTTGATGAGTTTTTGACTTTACTAAGTTTAGAATTATCCTCCCAATAGTCATATTTTTTTTTATCTTATATTGCAAATTTGAATGTTAGTAAAATATTAACAAAAACAAATTTTCTGTTTTGTATCTTTTAGGATTATCCTTCCAATTGTCATATTTGTTAATTTTCATTATTTTCTATTGCAAATTTGAATGGTAATAAAATATTAACAAAAACAAATTTGCTCTTTTATAATTTATATGAGAGGCGTAGAATTCTCTCATCAAATTTAGCATTAACCAAATTTGATAAGTAAACTCTCAAACCGAACTTTACAAAATTCATGTACGGTGCAATAGTTAGCAAAATACACTTGGTAATTTCGGTGACTTTATTAATCAATTATACATTTTTTTGTTGGGTCGACTTTTTAAAAGCGGTTTCTTTATTTGGGAATACCGTTGGCAATTGCTCCCAGCTTTGATGTGTTGATGAGACAAAATTGGGTCAGCCCACAGGAATGAGGTTTTGTCCTCTGTTGATATTTATTCCGACGCGTCCTTTTTTCCCCCTCCTTTTGTCCTAATTTTTTCTCCTTTTTTTCCTCAAGGACTTTTCTTTTGTTATTCCTTCTGGATGCATGAAAAGCTTTGATCCTTGCACTCTGGTTTCTACGAAGAGTGGTATTAGGGGTACACCCCAAACCACACCTCCAACCATACATTTCCTCTCATTCGCTACAGTACTCCGGGCCCCACATGAGTTTTTAAATTTTAAAAACTCATGTGGGGCCCAGAGTACTGTAGCGAATGAGAGGGGAAGGTGTGGTTGGATGTGTGACTTAGAGTGTGCCCCTAACATTTCTATTCTACGAATAACATAGCTGCAATTTCTTGTTAACGAAGTAGTCATTTCCTCTCCATCTGTTAGGATTGTAATTGCAGCCGCACACAATTACTATAATATTTTGGACAAATTACACAATTTCGTTTCACAACTGTACGTTTGTAAGACATTTTGGTGGTGGGGGGTGGGGGGGCGCTAATTATGATTGACAAGTTACATGTAATTTTAAGTCGCGCTACCATAGTTATGGTTGACAAGTTATATATAATTTTAAGTCGTACTAATACCTTAATTATAAAAGGATGATTAGGGCGTAGCTTGTAAACGATTCAGAACATAATGGAATTTTACTCACGGCAACCGTGGACGTAGCTTCTCTCATCGAGAAGTGAACTATGTAAATTCTGTGTGTTCTGGGATTTGTTTTTCCTCTCTTCACTCTCCCATCTCTATTTCCAAATCGCAACATGGGTTAGAAAACCCTAACAGCCCACACCAATATGATCTTAGCTAGAAAACCCGATATCACCAAAATAAATATTTACAAATTAAGCAAGACATTAAGCCATTAACTATATTTGAGAGTTGAAGCAAACTCTATTACAATTACAACTGGCATCTATACCACACTATAAAAAACCAAATGGGGGTAATTCAAAGTCTGCATGAGTGATAGACATATGTTAATCCTTTCCATTTCAACGCAAGCGGTGTAATTTTACAAGTAATTAATAATTATTTTCCTCCTCTTTCTTTTTCTTTCTCCATTACTTCTAGAACAGTCTACAGCATGCCAATGCAATGAAAAAGTATTCATCCACATAGTTTAACACCTTATATTCTCATAAAAAGTATAAAAGAGAGTGATATATAGATATACTACTCCTAAGTCCTAAGAAATTCTGAAAGTAAGAATAAGAAAAATGCAAGCTTTCACATTTTTAGATAAATAGAAATGCAAGAAACATGATTTATATCACGTGTATTTGTGCGCGTAAAGTTTCTAGTTTCTCATAACAACTACAGTTCAACGGACGCACGCATTTCATTTCGTGTTACAGCAACCAAATATAAAAATAAGGCAACGCCGCAAACTAGCCAACGAAGCTAATTAAATTAGGAAGGGTGATAGAGGCACACTCCCAACCATAATTCCAACCACTCCTCCAACCTGTAAGTGGTTTTGGCCTCATGGGTCAAATCTGTAACCCGATCCGTTAAGAATCCAACCTGGTTGTTGGGAATATCCCACGTTCTGGGATTTTTTTCCGTTAGAGAATGTGTCTTACGAAGAAAGTGGTTTAGAGAGATACTGGGGCAGATTTTTAAGGACGCAGGTGTTGAGAGAATGCCTATAAATTGAGAGGAGTTCTTCTCCTCTAAATACACAGAAAAAACGATCTCTTATCTGGAGTCCCAAAAAGAAATCTCTGATCTTCTTCCCCCTTCACTGGTATCAGAGCCGCTGATCCTTCGATTCCACTAAAAGTTCTTCCCAGATCCGGCACTTCCTCCGCCTGATCTTCGTCGCCTGAGATCCTCAACCGACCGCACCTCCTCCGCCTGACTCCCATCACCTGCGAAGCTCGCCAAATCGATCCCCAAACCCTAGCCTCCTTTCCACCGCCAGCACTCCCGTGGAGCTCCGCCGACCCGAGTCTTCTTTCGACCTCCGAAATCGCCCCCTTTCCACCGACCTCCGTCGACTCGCGCCAGCTTCAGGCAAGTGCCCGTCGCCTGCGCGCATTTGCTGACCCGCGCCCGCCGACTTGCGCCTGCCGACCCGCGCCGCTGTCTGTCCGCAGTTTTCCTTAGGCAGCACACAACCCTCTTTAAGTATTTGTTTTTTCACACATCATCTCTCTCTATAGTGTATTAGGACCCACATGAAATTTTAAAAAACAATTTTATGTGGGTCCCAATGCACTATAGAGAAAGAGGATGTGTGATTGGGATTGTGGTTGGGGGTGTGCCCCTAACATTTCTATTAAATTAGAACACGGAACAATTCCTATTGACCGTACTTAAAGGTCACGGTTCGTATACCCCCCCTGAATCTGGACGTAGGATCAGTCTCAAAATGTTCACTCTTTCGGTCCCAGCCTCACCTTTTTTTTCTCTTTCCTTAATTAATTAACATAGTCCGTTAATTAAAACAAACAAAACGTGCCCAAAAACAACAACAAACAAATCAAATCCATGAAAAGTCTCCTCGGCAATCGGCATGAATCCTGACCCCAAAAAACAATCTGCATGGAAGTTTCCTTTCCCTCTCTCATTCAACTGCTACATATATGACCTCAAACTCCTCCTCGTCCTCTGCAAATTTGTACCGTCTCGTTATTTCATGGGCTCTTCCTTCTCCTCAGCCACCACAACCTCCCCGTCTTCCCCGACGGCCAAAGTCATCGCTACCGATGGCTCTCTGAAGGAGTACAGGGCCCCCATCGCCGTCTCCTCCGTGCTCGGCTCCTGTCATCAGTTCTTCTTCGTATGCAGCTCCGACAGCCTCTATTTCGACGACTACATACCTTCCTTGGCTCTAGACTCTGTGCTAGAACTGAATCAGATATACTTTGTGTTACCAGTTTCAAAGTTGGAGTATCGGTTATCGGGCTCTGATATGGCGAACTTGGCGACTACGGCGAGTTCAGCGCTTGCTCGCGCATCGAGCAGTAAGAAGAAGGATGGTGGAAGGGGAAGGAGGACTCGGGTTGCTCCGGTGGCCAACGTTGTTTGTCAGGTGGATTGTGCCGGAGATGCTAGTGCTTTCGTTAAGAATTGTGTTGGAAAGATGGAGGGGGAAATGAGAGGAGCAAGGGCTTTTTGCAATTTCAGAAGGGGGAGATTGAACACAATTGAGGAGATTTGAGGAATAAGTAACCAATTGGTTTCAATCCTAGCCTTTTCTGTGTATTCAAATCTTTAATTGTCCAGTATTTAATGGATGCATATCAATTGCATGTTCTGAGTGAAAAATGAAAATCAGTTTTGTAATTTATAAGAGATAATAGCAGCAGCAGTTATATTAATGATGAGTTATAATCATCTAAATATAATTACACCGGTCTAAACCACCGCGGGTGACCGACCGGACAGCTGGGATATTTCAATAGAAAAATTCTTTAAGGACTCAAAATATAGGACCAATAGGGGGGACAAGTGAGGTGTCCCCCTCCTATTGGATAATGAGTTGGCCATCATTAATGATGGCCAACTCATTATCCAATAGGAGGGGGACACCTCACTTGTCCCTTTTATTGGTCCCATATTTTGGGTCACTGTAGCAAAGCTCATTTCAATATAGCTCTCACAGCGTTGGGTTGAATTCGAGACGGTCAAATAATCAAATTTTACTTGGGGTTGGGCATGAATGCTAATGGCTAAATCTGAAAGGGAGAGACCATAAAAGAAAAAGAAAAAGAAATTTACGTAGAAAAACAATTGAAAAAAATATTCTAGTCTAGTCTTCGTCAATTTCTTCAACAATGGCATTCATCCTCGCTCCTTCAGAGCATCCACACCCTCTCTGATCAACTAGCCACCTTCTCATTCCAACACTCCTCTCATTAAATCTCTAGCTCATTACCATCTTCTTCATAAATTTCATGGACAGGCATGACTCGAATCCTGCTTTTCCTACCGCAACCCTTCGAAGCATCAGAAATGGCGACGCTAGCAATGACCGCTAAGTGTGAACAATAGTGGCTTGTAGGGACCATTGGCGTTCAGCAGGCAACCACAATGATTACCGTGTGAAGAGATAAGCTAGGTTTCATGTGGGGACCACAAAACGTATGTGAGGCTAAGGAAGGGAATTGTCTGCAAAAGAAAGCCCACCCGATTCATGTGAATAGCTATAAAGACCTAGTTTTCTAGGTATTCGGTGAGCAAGGCAGAGTGCAAATTTGAGGGGTGGAATAGCGTGCAAAGGGCGGCTGCAGAGGTGAAAAAGGTAGAGGCTTGGGCGGCGTGCAAAAGACAGTTGTGGATTTTTTCTTGGGCTTCGTGCAGAGGAGAAAAATCCTATTTGGTGGCTGTTTTGTGAGAGATTAGAGAGTTAGTTTGAGGGTTTAGTTTGTGAGATTGTAAACATATTGTATTTTCTCTCTAATAGTAGATCCCCCATCCTTGCCCCGTGGACGTAGGCAGTTTGCCGAACCACGAAAAATTGGTTTGTTTGTGTTTGTGACCATTGTAATAGTTTTTAGGATCCCTCGACAAGTCAGTCCTAGAACTGATGAGAGGAAGAGCCGATATCTCACTTTGTTGAGATATTCGCTTTAGATTCTTGTCTCCTTGGTGAGACGGGAATTCTTATCGATCTTTCTCTCTTATTGTGCACCAGAAACTCTGCCGAAATTTCCGCTGCGCACAACAAGTGGTATCAGAGCTCGGGCTACGCTTGGGCTATTTGGAGGAGTAGATCAATTTGGAGGCTCGTCTAAGGCTTCGTTTGGTGATAAAGGTGGAATCTTTCTTTTTAGTTTTGGATCTATTCTTCGTTCGTTGGTACGTTGAGAAAGATGTCGGGGAAAGAAGGTGCTTCGGGTGTCGAGGGTGGTGCTTCTGGCGTGAAGGCCATTCAGAGTTTGAATATCCACTCTATGAAGATAGATGTGGAGAAGTTTAATGGCACAAACAATTTTAGATTCTCGAAAGCAAGTATCTGACAAAGAGTATTGAGAACTGTTTGCATTTGAAGAGGAGACTTTATCGTTTCCAGTTGAAGAAGGGAACCTCCATTAGAGATCACATGAACCACTACACGAAGCTTCTTGCGGATTTGGCGAATGTGAATGTCATAATTGAGGATGAGGACAAGGCGTTGCTGTTGTTGAGTTCCTTGTCCGACGAGGAATATGAAACCTTCGTCCTTACTCTGATTAATGGAAAGGCATCTCTTTCGTATAGTGAGGTCACTGCTGCACTTGTGAATTATCAGCTTCGAAAGAAGGATAAGGAGGCTTCAGTTGAGCCGGTAGCAGAGGCGTTGGCCGCAAGAGGGAAGGGTCCAAACCGAAAGAATTGGAAGTCACAGTCTAGAGTAGGAAAAGATCAGTGTGCTTGGTGCAAGGAGACTGGTCATTGGAAGAAAGACTGCCCAAAGCTCGACGAATGGATGAAGAATAAGCAGAAGGGAAAAGGGAAGCAGCCATCATCAGAAGCAAACATCGTATCGGATGGTAATATTTCTGACTCTTCTATTTATTCGCTTTCTATCAGTCCTACATGTAGCTATTCGGAGGAATCCGAGTGGATGTTGGATAGTGGTGTGACCTATCATGTGTGCCCTAGAAGGAAATGGTTCTTCAGTTTTGAGAAGCTGGATAGTGGTGTGGTGTACTTAGCTGATAACCGTGCATGCCAGATCCTTGGGATAGGAAGAATTCGCATAAAAATGTTTGACGGGACTGTTAGGGAGTTAAATGATGTGAGATATGTTCCTTCTTTGAGAAAGAGCTTGATCTCGATTGGAGCTTTGGTTAGAGAGGGTCTGAATGTTCAAATTGAGGACATAGTTCTCAAGATTGTGGAAGACTCTCGGATTGTGATGAAGGGCGTCAGGAGGAATAACCTGTATTACTTGACTGGAGGTATAGTGACAGGTGGAAAACTGGCGACTTCTATTAATTCGACTAGACTGCGGCATTTGAGGCTTGACCATTCCAGTATTGATTCCTCGCATAGATTGAAAGAGGATGTAAAGACCTGCAATTTAAAGTCCAGTGAACATGTTGATGTGAGCAAGAAGACCGAGGTGAAGTTTGACACCTCTATTCACCGAGTTAAGGGTCGTTCTGGAGGAGTTCACGTGGATGTTTGGGGGCCTTCCAAGGGGGCATCATTGGGAGGTAATAGGCGTTTGGTTTTCTTTGTTGTTGGCTGTTCTAGGTGTGTTTGGGTTGTAACCAAATCCCCTTTGGAGAAAGTCCTAGTAGTATCCAACAGATTGAAGAAGTGTGTGATAGACAGAAAGGTGAAGGTACTCCATTCTGGTAGGAGGTACAAGATGGACCTGTTTCTGTGTTAGAGCCGAGCTCACGGCATTTCGAGACACTTCGTTGGAAAGGAAATCTTGGGATAACTAGATAGAGTGAAAAATTTGGAGAACCATGCCTTGCTGGAGGAGGATCGGTGTTTGTTGTCAAGCAATAGTTTGCATAAGAGTTTCTGGACAGAGGCTTCGACAAATTTGGGTCATCCTATTAAAGAGTTGTTAACTGCTGTGATTGGAGGTAAAACTCTTTTGGAAGATAGGTCTGGTAGTGTCACTTTGGTTGAGGCTTCGATGAGGAAGTCAATTGACTCTCAGCAGGTGGAGAGTTTTGGACAGACCTTAGAGGTATCGCAGCGGGTGGAGATTGATGCTACTCCATATTGGGTGGGGATTTTCCCACATACTCCAGGTCATTCTGCATTGGTTGGGATTCCAGCTGAGGCGACACAGCGTGGAAGTCATGTGGATTTATGTGCAGATGATGAGTTGGGTTTTGATTCGAGTGCAGCTGACAGACATAGTTTGGATATGGTCATTGGTTCACCTCAGGTGGAGGTGTTTGAGGCCATTGGAAGTGCTATCAGCCACTGTAGGCTGTCTAAAAATCACAATAGAGAGCTTATTCAAACAAGCTCTGACAACGGAGGTCACAATCAGACGACTTCCCAATCACTGCATCCGCAACTCCACAATTGCCACAAACGCGACCTCACTTCTGAGATGATTGATCTTGATGGCTGTGACAACAGCATGGCTAATATCATAGCAACTATTAGAGATGCTGATGAGCAGTGGGACGATTTCAGAAATAAAAAGTTGGACTCAGTTGGTGAGTTGCTTGATAGAGAGCTATGGGCGAATATTCATCTTTAAGACACTATGGATGTTGATTCCCGTCTAGCTCCTACAACGAAAGCTACAATCAAATAGCTTTCGGGTCGATGATCGAAACATATAGTTGAATAGTTGCTTGGTAGAGAGCTATGGGCGAATATTCATCTTTAAGACACTATGGATGTTGATTCCCGTCTAGCTCCTACAACGAAAGCTACAATCAAATAGTTTTCGGGTCGGTGAACGAAAGTTGCGAATGGAGGGCTGTTCACATAGATCGAGAAGAGTTACAATTTAACGACACTTCTGACGATTGATGAAAAAACTCTATTCAACAGTCTTCACAATCTACAGTGAAAGTTACAATCTGACGACTTTCACACTCCACAACAGCTAAAACTAGGATTATCGAACAACGGTCCTTGCAACGCTCTACAGAAGAAGTTACAAATCAGCTAACTCCTTCTGAAACGCGGGTGTCATCCCCGCGTCATAACTTTGCGACCCTCGCGTCGTCAAGCCATAGCGACCCTCAATTTGGAAAATAACGATGACCCTCGCATCGACAATGCACAAGCCAAACGTGAGCGACCCTCGCGTTCAAGGGTGTTCAACCAACAGCGACCCTCGCGTCGACAATGCACAAGCCAAACGTGAGCGACCCTCGCGTTCAATGGTGTTCAGCTAACACCCAACTTCGCGTCTCAATTCAAAGAACACGAAGTTGAGTTCTAAACGCCAGAATGGGCGTTTGACTTATTCAAACATAAGTCGAACGGTTCCAAAACCGTTTATCCCACGTTCTGAGGGATTTTCGCCCACGTAGGAGCGGATATAGGGGTCAGTTACAACCTCTTATCCCCCTATAAAAGCTCAACGAACCCAACAGAGCAACGGGTTGGATTTTTGGCATCTGAACCACACAGGTTGGATTCAAAAGATCTAAACCATACAGGTTGGAGATTTTCAGTTCTAAAACAAACTCGACAGAGTTAAAGGATCGGATTTTTGATAATCAGATCAAGGGTTGGATTCTTTATCATCAAAACCACTCAGGTTTGGAGATTCGGCAACAACAGCAACGAAATCCTTGGAGATAGGATTTTTGAACCAACCTCAGAAAATCAAATCTGAGAGAATCCTTCAACAACAGAAAAACAGCTTGATTATTAACCGAA